CCCCCCCCCCCCCCCCCCCCCGTCGTCCGGAGGACTGCGGTAGTCTTGTGTTACGCAGAGGCTGTTGCCCAGAGACAAAAGCATCCTAAGTTGGTCCCATGAAACAATTACAAAGAAAAGAAAAAAATCCTGTAGGAGAGTCGTCACTACAGCGGTAGCACAACCAAGGCCTACACTGTAGGCCCTTTTCGTGTCACGTCACCGCAAACTAAGAAAACAGAACGAAAATGAAGAGAACGAGAAAAAGAGAGAAAAAAGAGGGAGAGGTAGAGGAAGGACCGACTGGATACAAACAAGCAAAGGTCGACGGCCAGATGAGGCGAGCCCCGCATTTCTTTTTTTTTATTATTTTTCTTAGTATGACACAACGAATCCATCTCTATCATAGAAAAGAGTCTGAGACAGATTAGCAATGAATTCATAGCGTTCTCGATAGCCAGGAGTAGCAAGGTGCTCGCGTCAGGTCAGGAGTGCACCGCTGCTACTGGGCACGCAATAACAGCTGCTACAGCAATGCTTGTGTTGTTCAGCCCTCCTCCTGCTCCACCTCCGGGTCGATGGAAAGGTCCATCTTTTGCCCGGTCACGCGCTCGTACAGGCTCTGTACGTCGGCCGCAGTCGTCTCGAAGTGGCTGTTCCAGAAAAATAAAATATAAATGACAAGGGCGGAAGCGGGACAGGACAGGGGGGTCAAGATTGGAGACCACCGAGAGCGAGAGCGTCTGGAAACGCCCTTGCGCAAGAGACTTGCGAGGGCAATGCCTCCCAAACGCAGCGTAAGCACGAGTAAGCAGCGAACGATGCCCCCCCCCTGGTTGCCCTCCCTTGTCATCTTCTCTTTCCCCCTCCCCCCTCTTTCCTTCGCGCTTGGGGATGTGAGAGCTTGGTCCGGTGAGAATCCGGCGTGCTCCGTCTCGGCTTTGTAGGGATGCGAGGTCAATGGCCAAACGCCTACGGCATGCACGACTATGAGTACCCCCCCCCCCCTCCCCTCTTCCTTCTCTCACCTGGTCGCATCGTACGATTCGCTGATGAAGCAACGGTCGGCGGTGCCGTCCTCGACGGGGGTAAGGGTGTTCGACACGTCGTCAAACCTGCGTGCCGACAAAACAAACACGAGAAAATGGGCAACCACACAGAAACGTGGGGGAGGGGGGCAAAGCAAGTCAGACGAACAACGTACGCGCAACAGCGAAAGGGCATCCTATGTGAAACAGCAGTCAAGGGTAAACAACCAAACCCACGGCAAACCACACAAAAACACCAACCGGCCGAGATCGAAGGAATGGAGAGGAAAAACGCACATGAGGTAAATATAAGCAATAATTGGGAGTCAACCATATATGTAACACAGAGAAAGGCGTTGTGTGTCCGGCCGCGAACAGAAGGGCAAGCGCGAACAGGAGCACACGAACAAGCTTCTTCAAACTAAATTAACCAATCAGAAAAACTGCGGACACTCTTTATCTCTCTCGTCTGTTCTGTGAATCTCAACACCCCCCCCAATAAACTCAAAATGGTGGCATACGATACCCTTCCCAAGAGATAGACTACTTGCCTCTCCATTACGGGGCCTAGGAGCTCGAAGGCAGGTGCGAGCTCGGCGAGGGGGTCGCTGGTCTCAACCGTGGTGGACGCGATGGCCACGTACTTGCCAGGGCTGGCCACACAGTGGGAGAACGACACCATGCACACGTAGATGTCATTGTGGCGGTTCACCTGTCCTTAAAAAAAAAAAGAAGAAACAGCAAGGGTTGCGGTGGAGTTTTGTCGTGGGGATGGTGTGAGAACGCGCTTTCGTTGTCAACAGAAAGAAAAAAGACAGATGCCGTGTGGTTCTCCTTGCAGCGACAAGATCGCGGTTCCCAACTCTACACACCGAACTGCTCCATTTTCATACCCATGCAGACCATTTAGTGACGGCCCCGTGGAACCTCTGGGGCAAAGTACCGACACCAATACGGCGGTCATAACCTATGGCAATTGGGGCGGGGGGCGGCTCGAACTCGGGCCACACTATAAAAAAACACGCTTCCATTCACACACTAATTTATAGGTCTAAAACCGGAGAAGAACAACTTACGTCTCGTTCTACGGAAAATCTCTTGTATGATAATCTGCCTCGAACCAAAACGTAGGCATGGACGGATGGTGATTGGTGAAATACTAGAGAATTTCGGGGGTGATAGTGGAGCTGTAAGCCGTCTGCACCCACAGGAACACCGTGTAGATCCAGCCAGCAGCCATACGTTGTACAACAGGGCCATTTTTCTCAACAGTGTTTATTTTTATTCGGCCATGTATGCAAAGCAGCGAAACGAAAAAACTTATCGTGTCTTTCATCTGCATGTTCAAAAACATATGGAACAACCATGTTCTTGTCTCATAGTAACACGTGCGAGCACTTGCCTGCCTTCCCGGGATGATGATCTGGGTCGACTCAGCGTCGTTGGTGCCGTTGAAGGGGTGGTCCATGATACAGATGCTCCTCGCAACCATGCCCGTTGGCTTCACCATGCGGCTGGGGAAGTAGCTGGGGTCGCCGATCAGCATGGTCGCCTTGGCCACCTGTTTTGTTATGATGAATCCATGTTTCATTTGTTCCATTTGCTATTGCGGTTTCTGCCGAAGCTGGTATGAGTGGAAATATTCCACAACGCCAGAGAGCTTGCTCGAAACGCAGAGAACAAGAACAAGGTGGACTTTCATCTCCGTTCATGCGGAGAGAGAGTGACAGAGAGAGTAGCGCATATTCTTCGCCCTCCCTCCAGTTGGTTCTTGCCAAGGGCGTATCATCTCAATCGACAGACAAAAAAACAAAACACCTCATGCCCCATCTCATGTCGTGCATTCAAGGCGTGATATCGTTGTATACATACGTAGAGTAAGGAGGGGAATACGACGGACGTTTCGTTCAAAAGTCGTGAAACAGCAAAAGCTACAAAGCAGACAAGAACAGACTTTCTCGCTTACACCACGACCTCGTCGCGAATAGAAGTACAAACACCGCGGTTATCGGACGAGATTCCCATTTTTCTTCGAACAAAAAAAAAAAAAATCGACAATACTTGAAACCCTCTGTGTGAGAGGCGGTGTGTGAAGAGAACACCGAACTACTCTGGAAACGATGAAACGCGCGACATGCATTGCTACAGAGTGCTGTATACAATGTGTCAGATATAGAGAACACAACAGCAACGGCGACACATCACAATGACACTTGAACACAGCAGCAGCAGCAGCAGCAGCAGCAGCAGCAGCAGCAGCAGCAACAAAAACGCAACGACTAGAGACGATGGCACACCAACAACACCCTACTGCTGTACCTGAGGAACACCGTCCATGGTGGCCTTGATACCCCACGCCACGCCAGAGTCGTCGAAGAGTACCTGCACCCACCCGCCGCGATCAACACGCCCATGGGCGACGAACGTAAGACAGGGGATGGTACGCTCCCGATGATCCAGTACTTCCAAATATAAGCATATCCAAACCATTCAAGTCTTCATGACTCATGGCAGGTTGAGGCATGCATGGGTGTCTCGCCGGTATAAACGAGATGAGATCTGAGTGAATCCCGTACTTGGAAGACTTCAGACTATGAGCAGGAGATGACGCGCAAAATGGAACATCTATACCCTACGAAATAAAAGGCTGTAGGTCGTGCAGCAGCAGTAGTCCATTTTCGCAAGCTGCCGCAGCACACTAAAGGTTCGATTTTCTTGACACGATGTCTGGACGACATGTAAAGTGTGCCATGCCGAAAAGGATGCAATAGCAAGGCGCAGTTGGAAAAATCCGCGGGGGTCCTTCCGAGACGTGAAATCAATCGCTCGACGTAAATACTCTTCGATTCACCGCGCGGGGACACAAACCGACGGGATTTCAACCCCAATTGAACGATGCACGATGCGAACGCCGCGGACCATTCAAAACCACAACCGCGCACGCACGTACACGCGCCCCGCCAATCGCTCATCTCCTCCGATAAATAGTTTCGCTCGCACCACTCCTACGTGATGTAATCATCATACTGGATACAGCATTGTCTGAGTTTCAGCCACGCTTCCCTCGTGATCGTCGACAGCACCGCCTTCTTGTGTTCGGCCAATGTCAAGCCCTGTACCCATGTCTTCACGTTCACAACGACAATGCTTTCCACCTCCATGACAACCACTGCGGCGACATTATCCTTTTCATTCTTTCTCGTTTCAGCCACCCGTTTCTCTCGCTTCTTTCACCCGCACCCACCTCCTCGACGGGGCACTGCAGCATGAAAGTCCCTCCGTGGATGGCGCACAGCCGCGAGAAACCCTCCGGCAAGCCGCCCAGGCCGTACATCGGGTAGATGTACGGGGACTTGCCGTACCTCTCAAGCGACCGCACGTACAGCTGAATGCTCTTGATCGTCTCAAGCGCCGGCCTGCCAAAAACAGCAGTGGGGCGAGGAATTGGTTGGGGATTAACAACAAGGCTGCGTTGCTTGAGGGTAAGAAAGGTTCCCAGACCGAGAGCAAGTCGCACGCGGTGCCATTGCAGCCATTCGGGGGGGCTGTTCGCAAACCCAGGTCTTGCCTCGTCAATAGACGAGCCAGCTTGCAACAATGACAACGGCAACCGCAACCGACGGCAGCACGCCCATATGTTCACACAACCCCCAGCCCCCGCTCCCGAGCCGAAACAACTGAAACGGATTGGAATTGCAGTGCAAATCATGTCAACTCTGAAAACGGGTACCTACAGGACTGGTGCCAAGCCATGGACAACAGCCGTCGCGAGATCTACTATTGCACGTGAAACGCTTGCGGGGGTCAGCCTTGTTAATGGATTCGCGACGTTACCCCACCCTTCCTCCATGTATCCATCCAATCCGAGGTCTTTCTTTAGACAAATGTGACTAGATGCAGGTCTATACACGAGTCCCATCGAAGTATAGTGGGGGCTACGGTTTAAGAGAGGGGTGTGTGCAGGACCAAGAAGACCTCTCTTAAACACGACCTTCTCTTAATCCGATTCGAGAGAGGTTTTTTCTTAAGCAGGGATTTCGGTTTAAGAGAAAACCTATCTTAAACCGAGCATATGGCTTTTTAGAGGGTCTAACCTGATAGAAGTGATGAAAAATATGGTATTTGTTTTCCACAATACATGTTCGTGCGTTATAGGCCCTCACCCAGCGTGAGTCCTCCTTATGGTTGTGTACGAAGCACGACCAGAACACAGCAGCAAAGCATGTATGTATGTGATTCCATTCCGGCATGGGTGTTTCGTAAACAACAGTGGGGGGGGGGCGGGGCGTGCTCTTATGTTTTGCATGCCTTTACTCCGCGGTTAGACCATTGACCACGCGTCCTCGAGAGGATGGAGCACTGTTCCCACAGGAAGACCAATCACCGATGATGGCCAATCGTTCCTTCCTACTTCTTTGCCAAAGAGGTGTCTCAAGAATGTTTTCCCTACAGCATCAGTATAGTCCATCTATCCTATCAACACGACTTCCCGCCTTGTCAACCCACTTCCTACGCCCCAGTACAGGTACCGCCCTCTCCCGGCCATTATTCCATGCCTCAAACATCTCCCTGTAATATAACCCCCTTCTACTTTTCCCACCCTCTTCTACTTTTCCCAGCTCAGCCATGTACACGTCCTCCCTTCTCCTTGTACAACAGACATTCCGCAACTACATGACCCCAGTCTTCGCACTCGGAGCCGCAATCACATACATTTCAACTTGTCGTTTTCATCGTCTACCTTCCTAAATCTTCGTCTACTTTCTCGAAGGTTGATGTCCCCGGTCCTGAATTTGACCTTCAGCTTTCTTTGTCATTCACCATTTCCATGCAGTAGGTACCTTCTTGAACCTTTCCTTCTCTCAACATTCCGTACGCATCTGGTCTAGACCCTCCTTATCCTTGGTTTCTAGGCAAGAGCAAAACAGTTGTTGTTGTTGTTGTTGTTGTTGTTGTTGTTGTCTTCACATTAAAAACCGTTCCAATCTCTCTCTACCCATAACCTTCGTATGTCCGTACTGATCCAACACTCGACAGTGGGGGGAGGCGGTGTGTGGTCCGGCGCCGCGGGCATCCGTGGGGGCCGTTTGTCTCGCTAGCTATGATCGCATGGGACACGGCTGTATAGCTGTCTGTAAAACAGTGGTGGGGGACAGCTGGTACAGCAGTGGCACTACGATTTAACTAGGCTACAGGGGGGGGGGGCGGGGGGGGGGGCGTACTCTTAAGTTTTGCATGCCTTAACGGTTAGACCATTGACCACCCCTCCTCGAGAGGACCGAACATTGTTCCCACAAGACC